ATATTCTAGTGCTAGGTTTTTAAAGTACTGAACTCGGATAAGGTTAATAAATTTAAGCTATATTAAAGCACACCAGTTGCTATGTGTTGTTAGGGTGAAACTAATTAAAGGATTAACTTTTATCAGAGACTTGCATTTTCTACTGTGTGGATAAATACGGATAGATTAGGATATTCATTGCGCGGGCGTCGCGGGTTATCCGTGCGGCTTGGAAACACAACAATAAGGAGGCTTATATTGGAAGAGAGAAAGCAATTTAGACAAGACAGGAGCGCTTTGCAGCCAAAAGTTTACACAAGAATTCAGTCTTAAAATACATTTATTTCTTCGAGACGTAGTAAAGACTCACGGAGGCGACGTTTTTAAAGACTTTGCCGAAAAAGGAGCAAAAGCCCTACTACAACAAGCAGGGGGCGGAAGCAAGAGAAGGCAAGGCCAACGAAGTAATTTATCAACTACAAAGAGGTTAAAACTGTGTTCTCATATAACAGTCCCAAGACATACCAAATGGATTACGGAAGATGAAAGCAGCCACGATGACGAAAGCAGCTATGATGAAGAATCTGACAGCGAAACCCCTGAAACAAGTGACGATATATATTAGAAACATAATTTTGTAAAACGTTTTGACGAAATAAATTTAAAAACTGAAATATTGTGTAAAGTTTTGCCGGCAAAGCCCGCTCTTTCCGCCCGCGCGAAAAGATCCGTGTACAAATATGTTGTACGTTAATATATGCATGCACCCGCAAAGCCATGCGCCTGATTTTAAGGAATACACCTGCGTTAAAAATAATCCCTATCTATCCATCGAGATACACTTAGTTATGCAAATTCGTATTACCTTAATCCCCTTAATTACCTACACGCCTCCTAATGACTTAGCAACGCATAACAACGCAACATTTGCAAAGTATAAAACATGTTTATTGATACAAATAACAGACGATAGTGTCAAAAAATATTACAACTAAAACTATTTGTTAAACTGTTCTATAAGTTTTTTCTCCATGAGTTCTTGATAAGCTTTCTTATCATCTGCCTCAAAACTTCTAAATCGTTCACCCGTCGCCTTCACATAATACATGTAACTCGGTGGGTAAGAGAAAAACGCTTCAGCTACGGACTCGAGTGGGTCTTCTAATCTCCAATGAAACAAATAGTTCAGTATACATTGTAGTTCGTGGTTCTCAGTGTTCTGATGTAGTTCCATCAATGAATCGACAAACGTAGAATCTGGATCTTTTTCCAGTTGCTGTAAATGTTCGAGTACATCTCTATCAACCGCCAGTTTTAGTACCCTCATTGCCTCAGCAAATTCATTCCAAACCATACGCTTACCATTCACTCGTTCGATCGCTTGTAAACCATACATTTGCCATCGTTCGTTTTCGTTCATCATGAGGCAGTCATGTTGTCTTTGACTAGGATGACTGACTTGACAACCATTACAGGATTCCACACAAAGTCTTTCAACTTCTTGTGCGACTGCATTCGCAAATATTCCTTCCAATAAATTGTAAGATGTGGTTTTACCGTGTAGACACGCCATGACTGATGTGGAACAAATATAGACGATGCTTGTTACAGGACACTTGTCGATTTTTTATACAAACACTTGTATAAAAGTTCATAGTAAGCCAACATTAATCTCTCAATTGTATCATAAACGTGGGGACGCTAAAAAATGCGTGGTCAGCAAGTTTCAACCGATCGTGTTTAAACCTGCCCGTTTAAACCTGACGTCATTGCATATAATTATGACGTATGTTAATGAGTGACGTCATTACGCACCCTCATTCCTCCTCACTCCTCCACCACACTCCACCGCCGCACTCCACCGCCGCAAAAATAAGGGTCGAAAACCACATACACTACTACTTGGGCATCTGTAAAAAGGGACCATAATATACCGAGTGTAGGCAGATGACAGATGGTTGTTGGTGACAAAAAGATCGGTGTAGTATGTACTAGTAGGTTTTTTTTGTATTTATCCACCCCTAGGACTGAATGGGAGCATTTTCTGAAACACATGGCCAGAAATTCCGGACATAATTTATTCTAATTCCATAAAAATTTACATATCACTTTGAAATATGGCTTTAACTGTAAACGGTAGATTGTACAACGCGATGAAGTAAATCGCAAAATCTAAGAACATAGTAGATCGTTTGCCACTTGCCGAAATCACTGGTGCTAAATCAAAGTTTGTCGATGTGTCTAGTGTAATTTTGGCCTAGTTTAAGCTGCTGTTTTTCCTGCTTTTTAGTTCATTCCTAGTGCGGAATTTTTGTATAGAGTTAAATAGACAAATATAGTTAAAATTCACCTCTATACAAATATAGAAAAAGCAGGAATGATAGCAACTTAAATCAGGCTAATATTACACTAAATTCTTCGACAGGCTTTGTTTTGCATCCAGCGATTGCGGCAAATTACAAAGGATCTACCATACCCTCCGATTTGGGGTTAACACCATCGCGTTGTAGTGGGCCCGACTCCCACGAGGCGTTACTATGTTTGGCGCCGAGCAGGAAAATTCTGAAAATTTCGAGTCTCTAGATCGATGGGAATTGCATTTTTAGAGTCTTTTTTTGCTTTTTGCTGTTTCTGATTATAGAAATCAGAACATGGTGTTTGGTAAACATGGTATTTAAATTCAAAAACTTTTTCACCCCATTTCTCTGCGTTAAAACTTTTTTGACCCCCCTATTTATAAGGGTAAAACTTTGTTTCCCCCCCTTCCCATTTACCAACCCCCCTCCCATAAATACTGACCACTCCCTTAGTGCCTCTTGTCATATAATTGCCATACTCATGTACAATATTCAACAGATTTTGTTCAGTGATCTAGTTAAATGATGGCCTAATAGGGACAAACGCATGTACTTGTATAAATGACAAAATGGTCAATTTTTTCACATTTTAGTTCTTCGCCACTTGTTAAGAACAAGGATTCAGAATTTTTTGCGCGGCGAGCGACTTCGCGCAGTGGAAAACTTCGTTTAGGAATAAAGGTTGCTTTCCACCAAATTTTATATGATAAAAAATGAATAAATACCTCAACAAAAACACACAAACATTAGTGAAAGATTAATTTAATTTATCATGTATAAATTTAGGTGCTGGGGAAGTAACTACGCCTGCTTATACCGCTATTGAGGACAGCCAGGAAGACATGGACGGTTAGTATATGAACTCAAAACAAATAAGGGCTTAAGATAGGATAATTATGAAATAATTAATGGCAATACATAATAACAATACGTTTTAGATACTGAATTAGAAAAAAGTGATGAACTTAAGTTAATCAACCTGCAAGATTTGGACGAAGAAAGTGGAAGGGATGCGTCAGCAGAATCACCTGAAAAGAAGAGTTACTTAGACGAGAAAGGATCAAGGTATAGTTATACTAACATGTTAGTATTGTGTATTGTGAATTATATTCAGTAACCTTAGCACCCACACGATAGATCTAGAATGCTAATACCACAGTGCCGTAGCCAGAACGATAATTGGGGGAGCACATATTCATATATTTGTGTTCACATACCATAAAAACAATTGATTTCAAAAGAAATTAATAAAGAAGAACACGAATATATGAATATGTGCCCTCCCCCCAATTATCGTTCTGGCTACGGCACTGTAATACCTACAAAAAATAGATTCATACTCGTTTGTGTAACATCTAGTGGTCTTTGCAAAGCACAAATAAGCAATATACAAAACTACTCTATCTCTGTACATACATAGCGTATGTCTTTCACAGTATGTTTGATGAATTTTCGTGAATATTATTCTATTTAAACAGCGAGATTATGTCACTCAAAAGGACCAATTTCAATTAACAATTCTTCCTTTTAACAAAAGATCGGTTTTGCTCGAATCATTTTGAGTTATGCAATCTTATGCGTGTTGGACGTAAACAACATATTTTGTCTACAACTTTGAGAAGGTACAGATAACGCTTTCTAAAACCCTCAGTTCTAGAGATGTCTCTATAAAATCACAAGGACATTAATGTCAAGTCTTTTAACTATGTCACTGGCGAGAAAAGTAACAAATTTAACGCGATCAAAATATTTAAAACAAAAGTAACGCAAAGCCAACGTAACGGAAAAGAGAACGTTAAAACGAAATATTGTCGAATGCTTCCAGGTAGAAGACTTACGACAGGATCAATCTTAAAAAACCTTAAGCTATAAGAATAAATGTTCACATCAAAGACAAAGATCAGTCACAACTTATAAAATATGCTCTGTAAACTTACCGCGAAGTGGAGAAATGTGTGCATGAGCTGTTTATTCGATGATTTCGACAAATATAGAAGCCCTCTTTCCAATAATACTCGCTTATCGCACAGTATAACACCAACTGATATAATAGTTCAAATGCAATGATAAGTTATCTCTTGAATTACGTCTTGGAAACCGTGTTGGAAATTTCCATGCTGATCCATTACATTTAGATTCCCTTTTTATATCTTTGTATAAAACATTTTGATCCCATGTAAGGAATTATTTCTCAGCCCAGAGACATAGCCCAAAGACTTGACATTAACGTCCTTTTGATTTTATAGAGATAGTTCCAGAACTAAGAATATTATAAAGAATCATCTGTACCTTCTCAAAGTTGTAGACAAGATATGTTGTTTACGTCCAACACGCATAAGATTGCATAACTCAGAATGATTCGAGCAAAACCGGTTTTTTGTTAAAAAGAAGAATGGTTAATAGAAATTGGTCCTTTTGAGTGACATAATCTTGTATCGTCATCGATCCGTATCGTTGAACAATGAAAAAATTTGCTGTGAAATTAGTGAAGATAAAATAGCATTTTGTGAAAAAAATGCGGGTCTACGGAGTGGGAACTTTTCGGATTTGAACTCAGCGTGTTCGAAAGTGTTAGTTCCCGTAAAAGTATTTCAGTTCTAAGACATGCTTAATGAAAATTCTTTTCTAGGCACTTTTCGAGGTCACAACACACGGACTATTTATGGCATTTTGATTCACATCCTGTTACTCCAAGGGATAATTTTGCATATGATTGATGATCCTCAACAATGTGTTTTGTCTCACATTGGTCTATCTCATGCACCTTAATTTTACTTTCCAATATATTACTGTTGGTAGACCACTTTCTTAGCTTGAACCCCCCTTGTGCCATTCTGCTCATAGTCTTCTCATATAACTGAAATGCTTTATCTACCGTACTTTCCCCACTAACTAAATCGTCTACATAGAAACTTTCTAGCACCTTCTTCACAAACTCAGGATCTGTTGAAAGATACTTTGAGACATGATGCCTTAATGTTGCATTGAGTAAGAATGGAGATGGATTCAATCCAAATACTACTCTACAAAACCTATAAACAACTGTTTACCACCTATCACTCTCAATATCATTTACCCACAAAAACCTCAAACAGTCTCGATCTGCCTCATCAACCTCCACATTCAAAAAAGCCTTTTCAATATCGCCTACTAAAGCAATCCTGTTTTCTCTAAACCGCATCAATATGCTATATAGTAATGGATTGAGGGATGGCCCAACATGCAAGCAGTCATTAAGTGATGTTCCTGATTTACATTCTTTAGAGGAAGCATCATAAACAACCCGAACCTTTGTGGTCACTGCATCTTTGCGGATGACCGCCTGGTGTGGTAAATAATAAACTTTATCAACTTTCTCTAATGCTACTAACGGTTCTACAACCCCTTGCTCTACCTGTTCTCTGATGATAGAATCATACTCTGTCAACAATGCTGGCTCCTTCTTCAGTCGTCGTAACTGATTCTTCATTCTACTTAAGCTATTTGCATAATTGTCAGGCAATTTGTCGAGACTTTCCTTCCAGGGTAGTTTCACAGAATATCTACTACCTGTGAAAGATATGCCATCTAAAAACTCCTCATGAACCTTATCTTCCTCACAGATACCTAACCCTTCAAAACTCCACAGCTTCTGTACATTACTCTCCAAACTATCTTCACTATTCATTCTCTGAGCTACAAAATTTACTTGGGCTAACTCTGCTCCCTCTATATCTTGCACTCTCAAAGGCCCTGATAAAACCCATCCTAACTCAGTTTCTATGGCAACTGGCTCTCCTGATTTACCTCTCTTGGTTACACCTGTCTGAAAATTCCAGAGGTAATCTGCCCCTATCAACACATCTATCTCTAGCTCACCCTGGCACTTCGAGACATCTGAAAACCATATATACCTTTCAAATGTGGGTATTCTCTTCTTGCTAGTTCTACATGGCTATTCTGTATCCTACAAATTTCTGGCACTACAAATGCTTCTAAGCAGTTAACCTTATTCCCGTTAACCGGTTCAAGCTTTAATTCGACCACCTCCCTGTGCTCGGCATTGGTACATTTTTGACCGAACGTATTAATCCCTAACAATTCCCTTCTTAAGAGAGGATGTCCACAAAAATCAAACATAAGGCGGCCACGACGGAAAAATCGATTTTGCTCAAATTTTGCCCAGATATACCTTATTATATCGGAAAATGCACCACATAATTTTTTAGGTCAAATGCTTTTTTAACTTTGAGAAAATGCCGTTTTAACACGACCACCCTAAATCGCCATT